TACCACTGAGCCACCTTCCCAGCCCCATTGTTTCTTATACCATTAGGTATTAAGCTGACCCATTACACATGGGGTTTTATTTATGTGGCATCCATGTTAGGTATAATATCTATTATTCTTTCCGAGACAGTTAATCTTTACAGTATACAATGGTAAAAGAGTACTTAAATGGTAGTCAAAAGTGGCCTGTCCAGGCCCAATTCGGGTAGCTCACACCTGTAATCCTAGCTACTCAGGAGGCTGAGATCTGAGGATCGTGGGTCAAAGCCAGCCTGGACAGGAAAGTTCGTGAGACTCTTATCTCCAATAAACCACTCAGAAAACTGCAAGTGGTGCTGTGGCTGAAGTGGTAGAGCACTAGCCTTAAGCTGAAGTGCGAAGGGACAGTGCCCAGGCCCAGAGTTAAAGCCCCACGACTGACCAAAATAAAAAGGCCTGTCCAGTACTTCTTCAAAGGAGCCTCCATTTCTTGATCAAATGGGAAAAATAATTTGTTGCTTCTCAGAACCACTGTGAGAAAGGTGGTAATATATTCAGACTGTAGAGTCAGACTGAAGTGTAGAGCAGTAACATAATTTTCAAAGGAATTATTCACTTGATACATTCAAAATTATGTTGCTGTCAAAATTCATTCAAAACTGTGAGGGTGGCATTCAGTACTTGAAGCCATATATGGTATTTGACTGCTCTTTGTCTTCTTTATTACAGATAATGGGCCTAAGTAAAAATTGAATTGAAGTCAGAGAAATTCTTGTATTTAGAATGAATAAAGTCCTTTCCCCTGAACTCATTATACGAAAGCAGATTTAAGCAGAGCACTAGTGACTCACGCCTGTAATCTCCAATAAACCACTCAGAAAACTCAAAGTGGCACTGTGGCTCAGGTGGTAGAGTGCTAGCCTTAAGCTGAAGAGCTCAGGGACAGAGCCCAGGCCCAGAGTTCAAGCCCCATGACCGACAGAAAACAAAAAAGCAGGTTTAATGTTATAACAGAAGAATTTGGGCAGAATAATGCAGGAAGTTATGACAAAAAGAAAATATTCAATGGTAAATTTCCCATGCATTGCTTCTACCTTTGTTAAAACTTAATATAGCTGTTGATGCTGGTAATCAAGTTGAAAAAAGCAGATGTGTTGTAATATATGTGCATGGATATATCTCATTTTTCTTACCAATAGGAAGCACAGTCTTATGCAGATGACAACAGTTTGTTATTCATGGAGACATCAGCTAAAACATCAATGAATGTAAATGAAATATTCATGGCAATAGGTAAGATTTATAGTAATTATTTTCAAATGATAACCGTGTATAGATCTGTCTGCTTAAAAAAAAACTCTGAGTCTTTTTTAACTGATTATACTACTTTCATAGTCCCTTCCACTAAGCAGTATTTTGTTAGTAATATATTTGAAAAATCATTACCTATTAGGTTGTAAATCATTACCTGATAGGTTCTAATACTAACAGTTTTGGCACATTTCTTCTAGGGTGAGCTATAGTTATTTTTTGTTTGGTTGGTTGTTTGATGCTGATCCTAGGGCTTGAACTCAGAGACTTGAGTATTTTTGCTCAAGGCTAACACTCTACAACTTGAGCCATGGCTCCATTTCAAGCTTTTCTGGTGCTTAATTGGAAATAAGAATGTTTCTGGGCTGGAAAGGTGGCTCAGTGGTAGAGTGGCGCTGTGGCTCAAGTGGTAGAGTGCTAGCCTTGAGCTGAAGAGCTGAGGGACAGCACCCAGGCCCAGAGTTCAGGCCCCATGACCGCCAAAAATTAATAATAATAATAATAATATAATAATAATAATAATAATTAAAAGGGCTGGAGATGTGGTTCAAGTGGTAGAATGCCCGCTTATTAGAGAGTACAGAGCTAGAATTGAAAGTTCAAGGCCAACCTGAGCACCTTAGAAAATTCCAGATCAGCATAGACCACATAGCAAGATCCTGCCTCAAAACAAAAATAAAAAAGGTCTAAGCCAGGCACTAGTGGCTCACACCTGTAATCCTAGCTAAGGAGGAAACTGAGATCTGAGGATCACAGTTCAAAGCCTCTCAGGCAGAAAAGTCTTGAGACACTCATTTCCAATCAACTACTCTGAAAAAGCCAGAAGTTGCACTGCGGCTCTAGTGGTAGAGTGTTGGCCTTGAGCAAAAGAAGCTCAGAGACTGCGCCTAGGCCGTGAGTTCAAGCCCCAGGACCAGAAAAAAGAAAAAGTTTCAGACTTTCCTTCCTGGACTGGCTTTGAACCAAGATCCTTAGATCTCAGACTCCTGAGTAGATATGGTTACAGGTGTGAGCCACCAGAATCCAGCTAGAGTTGGTTTTCTAAAGATTCCATGCTCACTCCTATAGTCCTAGCTACTCATGAGGCTGAGATCTGAGAATAGAAGTTCAAAGCCAGCAGGAAAGTCCATGAGACACTTACTTTCAATTAACCACCAGAAAACCGAAAGTGGCTCTGTGGCTCAAGTGGTAGAGCACTAGCCTTGAGCTGAAGAGCTGAGGGACAGCTCCCAGGCCCAGAGTTCAAGCCCCACAGCCAAAAAAAAAAAGATTCCACTGAAAGTTGGAATAAGTACATGTTTTCTTTTTCTTTCTTTCTTTTTTGTTTGTTGGCCGTGGGGCTTGAACTCTGGGCCTGCGCGCTGTCCCTCAGCTCTTCAGCTCAAGGCCAACACTCTACCACTAGAGCCGCAGTACCACTTCTGGTTTTTTGGAGGTTAATTGAGATAAGAGTTTTATAGCCTGGTGCTGGTGGCTCTCGCCTGTAATCCTGCCTATTCAGGAGGCTGAGATCTGAGGATCCTGGGTCAAAGCCAGTCTGGGCAGGAAAGTCCCATGAGACTCTTATCTCCAATTAATCACCAGAAAACTGGAAGTGGCGCTGTGGCTGGAGGTAGAGTGCTAGCTTTGAGCTGAAGAGCTCAGGGACAGTGCCCAGGCCCAAAGTTCAAGCCCACGAACAACAACAACAAAAAGAATCTCATTTTCTTTCTTTTTAGGGGGGGAGGGGGAGATAGGGCTGTCCTGGTGCTTGACTCGGGGCCTGGGCACTGTCCCTGAGTTTCTTTTGTTCGAGGCTATATAGCACTCTACCACTTTGAGCCACAGCGCCACTTTTGGCTTTTTCTGTGTATGTGGTACTAAGGAATCAAACCCAGGGAATCATGTGTTCTAGGCAAGCACTCTACTTCTAAGCCACATTCCCAGCCCTCTTTACTTTTTTGTATGTGGTAATCCCCTCCTTTTCTGTGGGAATATATTCTGAGACCCTCCCTTGACTGCCTAAAACCTTAAATCCACATTGAACCCTGTGGTAAAATGTTTTTTCTATCTCTAGATTCTTTGATTAGGGAACAACCTGCCTGTTCATCTTGACTACTACACACTTAGCACACACTAGCTATACTCTTGAATCTTGAGATGAAAAAGTAGGACCAGTACAAATTCTTCACAGTTTCATAAAAAGGAAAGATTCCTTTTTAAATAAATTATGTTGTAGGGCTGGGAAGGTGGCTCAGTGGTAGAGCTCTTGCCTTGCATGCATGAGGCCCTG